TCATTCTCACTCACTCTCTCTCCTCACTTTCCCTCTCCCTCTCCCTCTCTCTCTTTCCCCTTCCCTCTCCCTCTCTCTCTTTCTGTTTCTCTTTCCCCTCCCTCTCCCTCTCTCTTTTCCCCCTTCCCTCTCCCTCTCTCTCTTTCCCCTCCCTCTCCTCCCTCCTCTCTCTTTCCCCTCCCCTCCCTCCCTTCTCTCTCTTTCCCCCTCCTCTCCCTCTCTCTCTCTTTCCCCCTCCCTCTCCCTTTCCCCCCCTACTCTCTCCTTTTCCCCCATCCCTCTCCCTCTCTCTCCTTTCCCCCTCCTCTCTCTCTCTCCTCTCTCCTTCCCCCGCCCTCTCCCTCCCTCTATCTCTTTCCCCCTCCTTTCTCCCTCTCGTCTCTTTCCCCCCTCTTCTCCCTCTCCTCTTTTCCCCCCCTCTTCTCCCTCTCTCTCTTTCCCCCTCCTCTCCCTCTCTCTCTCTTTCCCCCTCTCTCCCTCTCCCTCTCCTCTCTCTTTCCCCCTCCCTCTCCCTCTCTCTCTCTTTCCCCCTCTCTCCCTCTCCTCTCTTTCCCCCTCCCTCTCCTCTCTCTTCTCCTTTCCCCCTCCCTCTTCTCTCTCTCTCTCTTTCCCCCTCCCTCTCCCTCTCTCTCTCTTTCCCCCCTCTTCTCCCTCTCTCTCTTTCCCCCTCTTCTCCCTCTCTCTCTTCTCCCCCCTCTTCTCCCTCTCTCTCTTCCCCCCCCCTCTTCTCCCTCTCTCTCTTTCCCACTCCCTCTCCTTCTCCCTCTCTCTCTTTCCCCCCTCTTCTCCCTCTCTCTCTTTCCCCCTTCCTCTCCCTCTCACTCTTTCCCCCTCCCTCTCCTTCTCCCTCTCTCTCTTCCCCCCTCCCTCTCCTTCTCCCTCTCTCTCTTCCCCTATCCCTCTCCCTGTCTCTCTTTCCAGCTCTCCCCCCCTCTCTCTTCACCCCTTCCTCTCCCTCTCTCTCTTTCCCCCTTCCTCTCCCTCTCTTCTTTCCCCCTCCCTCTCCCTCTCCCTCCCTCTCCCTCTCTCTCTTTCCACCTCTCCCCCCCTCTCTCTCTTTCCACCTCTCCCCCCCCTCTCTCTCTTTCCACCTCTCCCCCCCCTCTCTCTCTTTCCACCTCTCCCCCCCTCTCTCTCTTTCCACCTCTCCCCCTCTCTCTCTCTTTCCACCTCTCCCCCCTCTCTCTCTCTCTTCCCCCCTCTCCCCCCTCTCTCTCTCTTTCCACCACTCCCCCCTCTCTAGACCCCTCCCTTTCCCTCTCTCTCTCTCTCTCGTTCCCCTCCCCGTCCCCATTCTATCTCTCTCTCCCCCTCCCTCTCCCTCCCCCTTCCCCCCCTCTCTCTCTCCCTCCCTTTCCCTCTCTCTCTCCCTCCCTTTCCCTCTCTCTTTCCCTACCTTTCCCTTTTCCACCTCCCTGAAGAGGGAAAGGGAGGGGGGGGAAAGGGTGGTCCCTCTTCACCTCCCCCTCCCTTTCCCTCTTCATCTCCCCCTCCCCCTCCCCCTTTCCCTCATCACCTCCCCCTCCCCCTTTCCCTCATCACCTCCCCCTCCCTTTCCCTTTCCCTTTCCCTTTTCCACCTCCCTGAAGAGGGAAAGGGAGGGGGGGAAAGGGTGGTCCCTCTTCACCTCCCCCTCCCTTTCCCTCTTCATCTCCCCCTCCCCCTCCCTTTCCCTCTCCCTTTTCCTCTCTCTCTCCCCCTCCCTCTTCCTTTCCCTCTCCTTCTCCCCCTCCCTTACCCTATCCCTTCCCCCCTCCCCCTCCCTCTCACACAGAGGCGGGGAGGACACAGCTTTAAAGTATGCACGCAGCAGACGGCGCAAACCCGAATCCTCCAGCGCGCACGACTGCCACCACGTGCACCAGAGAAGGCAGGACACACCGGGGAGGAACGTGTCCAATTCTCTTCGAACTTGGCCTCTACTCCCCCCCCCCCCCCCTCTTCTCTTCCCTTCCCTTCCCTTCCCTTCCCTACTTTGCTTCTGTTGGGGTTTAACTAAAAGGAGAGCGGGCGGCATGTGAAACCGGGAACTGTACGGGGCATGCGTCGAGGCCCAGGTACGGAGGACCCCACGTGTCGAACTGTAGTGGACTGAACCTGCTCTCAGCAACCACGCCCAAGAGAGGGAAGTGAAGAGAAATGCACATTTTCTGATTGATAATTAGTAAATAATGTATAACTGATATCTATACAGAATTCCATTTGCACACGAGGATAATGGCTTTCATTTACAAACAACCGTGTATTTTCTTGTATACAGATACGAAATTCACACAACAAAGCTGAAAATATGCACCCAGAACCCATAAAAAATCGGCCCCGACGAACTAGCAAGCCACTCCTACACGAAGTCGAGCGTGGCAAGCCGGCCAGTGGTCCTCACCTCGAGAAGTAGCGGGCCGAGTCGCTGGCTAGGGAGGAGTGTGGGTTTGGAGGAGGACACCTCGCCCTGCTGCACCGCGCCTTCCCCCGCCCCCTCCGCCGCCTTGATGCGCCGGATCTGAAACAAAGGAGAATGGGTTACGAACACTGCCTTCATGAGACCTGTCATCATGTCAGTCTGCCATCCATCTTAAAAAGTATAATTCCGTAAATTCTACCACATATTTTCCTTTTAAAGCTGCGAGCTCTGCCATTAGATAATTCCAGCTATGAAACAAGTACTATTTATCACTTAGCAGTCGCATAAGTTGATATCAATATCGAGAATTGCACGTGCGTGAATGCAAAGTCAAGAGCTAACCAATCACAATGAATAATTGCAACAAACAGCAATAATGCAAATGCTCGCAAAAATAATACTGACTGTAATAGTTTAATGCTGCCAAAAATGTAAATAACAGTGTCAGCAATAACTGCTAACAGTATTCAAGCTGATGATGATGACAATAAATATTCATGAAAAGACATTCTATCATACCTATATTGCACATATGAAAGAATATAAACTATAAGGTAAATTATAACTGGAACCTGAAAGGATAAGGACAGCCAAGTGGCACGCAGCGGTAGAAATTTCAGTACCGGAAGATAATGAGAACGTGGGCTGCGGTTAGGAGGCCTTGTTGCATTTTTGTTGGTGGAAATGACGAGTCGCGGTGATTCATAGTGACGCGGTCGGTATAAGCAACATTGTTGGTGTTGGCACAGTTGACAATTTCAGTGGCTGGTGTTAGGAGCAACACGTGCTGGCGAGGATGCGGATGATTAATACATGTCCACACGCAGTGCAGAGGCCGGTGGCAGCGGCGGTGGCAGCGGCAGCGACGAGGGTGCCAAGTCATCAGCTCGTCACCATGGACACCGAAGAGCGAGCGCCCAGTCCGCGCCTGGTGACGTCCTCTGCCCTGACCACTTCTCCACTGCCCCCCCCCCCCCCCCGCCATCGCCACTCGACACCTTTTCCTCGCACCGTGCGGAACTCATGCTGGCTCCGCAGCATGAGTGCCGGAGGGCAGAAAGATTTCACAGACGCCTAATTGGCCCTGTGGAAGACTCCCTAGCTGCGACAAGTGTTAGGGACAGAATAGAGGACAGAGCGGCTGCTGGTGGCGTGGGTGCAGGGGCCGCGAGGCCAGGTGTGCATCAAACTTGAGCACCAAACACTATACAAAGCCGTATAGTATTAGTATACATGTGCAGATACAGTGGCCATTTCATCTACAAATAACACTGCATGCAAGATTCTTCATCAGCAACGACTTGTATTAACGAAGTGCTGAGAACAGCCACTTGGAGTAATTACGAGACCAGGAATGCGGAAATATCACGGGAGCGTACATCACTACCACAGCGCAAACATATATTTCATAGCAATACTAACGTGGCACTACGCAAGGCTGCATCGGCTCGTCTCGACACGCCAGCTGCAAGTAACGACACACGCCCTGCCGGAGGACACACCCGCACTCGCACAGTATTATACTGCTCGCCGATGCGACGCGATGCCCTCGCTCTCAATAACGCTATATGAAAAAATAGAACGAATCCTTAACTACTAGCGATTCTATACGTGGAAACTGAACGAGGAAATTACTGGAATACAAATCGATAACTCAGTCTGGCAGCGAAGGAAAAAATGGCCGTGGTAATGACGGAAATCTCTCTAATGATGGCTGTGGCGGCGGCCTCACAGCATAGCGGGAACACAATGAGACGCGAACTAATGCAGCTGCAGGAGCGGTGATGGTAGTGATGCGTTGGGTCAACCGAGTAATAGGTAATGCAGGTTACAAGCTATTACAGGAGAAACTAGCGTAGCCATGTCCCCTTGTCTATATGATCATTAGTATTGCGGTCCTTACAGGATGAAACGCTCATTAAGCTACATTCACCTACAGTCACCAGAAAACTATTGAGCTCCCTTCATAGGAGTAATAACCAGTTTCTAATCCCTTCCCTAACTGCAAACTCTTCCTCATCATATGGCGTTCCTTTCATCTACGTACTTCAGCGTCAAGTTTCCTCCATTCGCACGAAACACAAGGCTCCCTCTATTTGAGCCGCGCAAGCTTTATTACACCCAGAAGCAGCAGCTTCAGCAGCCCCCTCCTTCCTCATCCCTCCTGTAGTCCCTCGCCGCCACATGGTGTAGAGGGCGGCACAAGGCGGCGGCAGCGACGGTGTGGCGGTGGCTCTCCCTCGTTACAGACGCAACGTTTCCGTTATTTAACATTGTGCAACGGTGGGGTCACGTCACGGCGCGCCGGTGAAAGTGTTCGTCACGGGCGCACCGCCTCCACTGCCAAGAACACCGACAAATGCACCATCAAACCAACGTTCTTTCGTAAGCGCTTGGGCCAGGGATAAAGTAAAGAAATACAAAATAAAAGCAATGCGAAAATAGAAGGAAAAAGGCATACACGATCCGGTAACTGTAATCGAAAGGCGACAGAGCGCTGAGGCAAGGAACGACATCTTGGTGCAGGAGGAAGATACGGAGGAAGAGGGAGGAGGCAGCGGCGGACCGCGGGGTGGAATGTTTCCTTAATGAGACGGCTCCTCTCATTGTCGGCGTGGTAATGAATGGTGCCGAGAAGGACACGCTCAGGGGGAAGGGGGTTCCCCTGGGCTGCTATGGGTGAGGGAGGGATCTTCGGGACTGTGGGAGTAGGGGGGGGGACTGAGGAAGCGTAGGTGTAAGAGGCCCCAAGAGGAGTGTGGACGTAATAGGTCTTTAGGTGGAGGACCTGCTAGGAGAGCCTAGCTGTCTGGACCCTCTAGGGGGTTGGTGGGCGTGACAGACCCTTCTGGAGGCGACGGAGGATGATGGGGGCATGGAATGCTGAGGAGTGACCCAAGGATGGCGTTGTCAGAGGACTGCGGGGAGCTGTGGAAACTAGAGGGATCAAGAATGCTAGAGGAAAGGGGGCGGTGGAGCCGCAGGTGGAAGGGAAGAAGGAACGGAGGCGGTGGAGCCGGAGGTCGAAGATGGAAGATATGGAAAATGGGCGATGGGCCGGGAGTGGAAGAGAGGAAGTCTCGGCTTTGAGGAGGAACTGTTCAGGGTTTGGAGGTTTAAATGGGTACAGGCGAGCAGATGTGTTGGTGAGGAATTGTACAGAGGTGGGGCCGGGGGGGGGGGGTGTCCGGAGGAAAAGGTGTGCCGGAACTTGGGTAAAGACTGCTGCAGGTTTTTATGTGGAAGAGAGTGGTGAAGATCAAGAGCATAATGCTGCAGGTGGTGGAAGGAGGTGGCGTGTTGGAGTAATTTATAGTGGTGTTTATTTCGGGGGAAGCTGTAGGCGATCGGGAGGAGAGGCAGTGTTGGAGGATGCTTGTGAAGGGGGAAAGTAGTGCGAGGGGGCGGTGAGTTGGGGGAGGGTATGTTGGAGGCTGGCGGGAGGCGGGGTTGTGGGGAGTGAGTGTTGGTGAGACTGCCGTGTGGTCGCCATGGTGCTGTGGATCGATTGCCAGAGCGACGCCGCACCCTTAGTTATGCGTTGCCTTTACAATATCCCCTTTGACCACGTCCTGCACCAGCCTACAGTATCCTCGATTATCCTACGACTGTGCACACGGATCCCCGCCTCAGCCTCTTAAATAAAGGTCGCAAGAGCCGCCCACTAATGTTCACCTGGCCACGCTCAAACTTTGTGCATGCTCCTCCTCTACTTCACATGCGTGCGAAACCTTAGAACATTCCCGTAACGCACACAACGCATCTCGCACGTTAAGCCAGTCCATTAGGAGCCGACGCGTCATCAAAGTACATTCCGACAATAGATTCCACAATCCATTACAGCTATAATTGCTATACTTCTTTAGTCAAGGAAATAATGTAAAATATTTGGAAGAGTCATGTACTGTACATAATAGATACATCTACGTAAAGCGTAATCCATTATCCCTAACTATTAAAGAGACATTTCGTGCATTATATGCGTCCCGTCATCTCCCAAGAAGGAATTACATTCTTCCAGTCCTTCCCTTACTGTAGCTTAAAATTCTTAAGCCACCTAAATCTCCTATGAATTTCGGCCTCCTTTCCCTCTCCCAGTCTGCCCTGAACCGATCTTAAAATCTCCCAAGGCAGGAGCGGAACCGAGCATCTTCTTTCGCTAGTCCTGTGCGCGAGCTACAACGGCAAGCACTGTAGGTTATCTTAGAAGCCCGTCTTGAGTCAGTCCGCCATAACAGAGCTGCAGCAACAGCGCCCTCCTGCCCCATGCTCCTGCTCCACGTCACTCTGGTTACACTCACACGACCTGGCAACCGGACCTGCACCATCTCCCGCCATCTCCCTGCCGCCACTTGCGTTACTTCCTAATCGATTCCTGACGTACTGAACATCAATTCCTTTCTCTCGCCATCGATAAAGCGCCCAAGGGATACATGCAGAAGCGTTTGTCGGACTTCAAGGGGCGAGGGGGGGGGGGGTATTACCCGGCCTTCACAAATAACGAGACGACTTCCGGATGTTCGGCCGCGCACGCTACCTTCCTGTCCCGTCGTCAGTGTCGCCGTGCTCGCCGCTCCCGCTGCGGCACCTAGCTGCCCCTGGCACAGCCACTCAGCCAAGGCATCGAAAGCCCTCCATATGAACGGATGGAATTACCTCTTCAAATCCTGGCATCAGTAACGCCCTCCCATCGACTGACGAGGCGGGCACACACTTTCCAAAATCGAAAGCAACTTCTTAATACAGCTTCCCTTTTCAGGTTCATTTCTTCTGAGGTTATGAAAGACAACGAAAGTGAGTTGCTAGACCGCTCGTTCCCCTTTATTTGTAAAAATCCAAGATAAATGAAACACTGGCAAATGGTCTCGATGCCCCTCTTCATTTCCTCCTACACTCGCAGACCGAAACAACCAGGGAACTGGCTGCATCAAACCATATACCGTCGGCTGTTTCCATATCAACAAGCTCTAGTATTGATGAAACAGTAAGGGCCACGTCCGCCTACCACGCCAGCTGCGAAGAGCGAGCGCGCGCCCGCTGCCGCCTACCACACCCTGGCCTTCAGTATATTCCTATGGATGACTTCGCATCCCAAGCGC